ATTACACTGCCCACTGTCAGACTGTTTGTACCATTCCCAAGCAGAGGTCTGTAGAACAACATGAGGGGTGAAGAGAAAACAGCACAGGTGGCATGAATGCTTTACTTGCATGACTTTATGACTGCCACATTCAAAGATATTCAGATTCCAAGGCCAGAAGGGACCACTGTGATCATCTAGTCTGACTTCTTGTGTAACAGAGGCCGGAGGCCTTCCCCAAAATAATTCCTAGAGCAGAGCTTTCAGAAAAACATTATGCATTTGTGAAGGGATGAGTGAATTATACAAAAAGAAAAGGAGTACTTGTGGCACCTAAGAGACTAACAAATTTATTTGAGCATAAGCTTTCGTGAGCTACAGCTCACTTCATCGGATGCATTCAGTGGAAAATACAGTGGGAGTGGACGGGTCATTACACAAAGTAAAACTATTTCCCCTTGTTTATTCCCACCCCCCACTGTTTCTCAGACGTTCTTGTCAACTGCTGGAAATGGCCCACCTTGATCATCACTACAAAAGGTCCCCCCGCCCGCTCTCCTGCAGTGTGTATGGTAACACCCATTGTTTCATGTTCTCTATGTTTATAAATCTCCCCACTGTATTTTCCACTGAATGCATCCGATCAGGTGAGCTGTAGCTCACGAAAGCTTATGCTCAAATAAATTGGTTAGTCTCTAAGGTGCCACAAGTCCTCCTTTTCTTTTTGCCAATACAGACTAACACTGCTGCTACTCTGACACCTGAATTATACAAGTTACTCCAAAGTTATGTCAGTGACATCAGTGAACATATATGACTGCCATCACCATAGAATCTGTGCCTACACATTTACACCACAACATCATTGTGTATTATGCTTTTACCACTACAAATAATTTCAGAAACGCTATTTTTCCCCAAACACCGAACATTTGGGAGAGGTTTTTGGAAGCTATATTGATAATATTTGTATCCCTCTAAGTCAAGTTGTCCTAGCAGCATGAGATCCACTGCACAGGCTCAAAGGGAGAAAAATAAAGTGGTATAAAACTCTAAAAATGATCTAAGAGAGCTTTTCAATCACGTATTATGTTGTAGTTTGAATGAGGGAATCTCTTGGGATCTTCCAAGGTCGGAAATCAGGGCAGTACACCACACTGGAAGGAGGATTTTCCAGATCTTTTGTGCTCCAGCTTGTGACCCATTGAGGCTACAAGATATTGGGTATTATGCCCAGGGGTTTAGGGCTGAATGCTGCCTTATCCCACAGCATTATCCTTGGGTAATGTTTTAGGGAGAGTACAAGGAATGCAGGCAGGAATAGGATTTCACATTTGGGAAGAGCAGGAACAACTATTTGAAACCTGTTCAGAGCTTTGTAATATTAGAAGTACTCCATGTGTGGATGGATTAGGTGAACAGAATGCAGCTGAAGTAGTCAAAGGTGCATGCTATCTTAAATTCATTGAATCTTTCTCACCACCTACAACTCCTAACTTCCATGATTTGTCTACCTGCAACTCCTAATTTATTAGTATAATTACAGGAAAACTGCCTGGGTGCTTTCATTCGGCCAGAATACCTTGGGTAACACACAAAAATAAACATTTACTGAGAGCATTGATGTGACCTCACCGTAACATTTTCTTATTCTTTACAGGGAAATAGCTCCTCTTATTGCTTTTTAGACAGCAGTGAGGGCAATGTTTACATTTTAGTGCCAACCACTGTTTGAAGTATGGATGCTGTATGCACCTCTTGTAAACACCAAGTAATTGTCCTTCTTGAAGGAGAGGACAAAAACTTTGCACAAGATGAGGTATTTCCAGAGCACATAATTATCTCTATTTTCAGAGTCGTCCTCTCACTAACTGATATTCACCAGCCAGGACTAATCACTGTCAGAGTAGCCACTAAATAAACTAGAACAAAGCAGTCTAGGCTAGCGGAACAGAGGATCTGGCAGGGTTTTAATCTATGCAGAAAAGTACTAAATGCATTCCAAGAGGAAAACCCTGGGGAGGTCAGCTATTTCAGGTACTCGGCACAAGTTAAATGAAGTATTTCTGGTGAACAGTGGCAAGCGGATGAGGTGAACAAACAGCATGTAGCAAAGAGTTTCACTCCCAGGAAAACTTTCTAATATATTGAGTAAACTATATTCCAGTTGCTCACCATGTCATTCGCATTCTTTTTCTCCCCAGGTTTGTGAGTCACAGGGTTTGAGCCAGAGTTCCCCGCACATCTCCTCCTCCTTGTATAATCCCACAGTGCAGGGAGACCACTGAAGAATCATAGAATATCAGGGTTGGAAGGGACCTCAGGAGGTCATCTAGTCCAACCCCCTGCTCAAAGCAGGGCCAATCCCCAACTAAATCATCCCAGCCAGGGCTTTGTCAAGTCTGACCTTAAAAACTTCTCAGGAAGGAGATTCCACCACCTCCCTAGGGAACCCATTCCAGTGTTTCACCACCCTCCTAGTGAAAAAGTTTTTCCTAATATCCAACGTAAACCTCCCCCACTGCAATTTGAGACCATTACTCCTTGTTCTGTCATCCGCTACCATTGAGAACAGTCTAGATCCATCCTCTTTGGAACCCCCTTTCAGGTACTTGAAAGCAGCTATCAAATCCCCCCTCACTCTTCTCTTCCGCAGACTAAACAATCCCAGTTCCCTCAGCCTCTCCTCATAAGTCATGTGTTCCAGTCCCCTAATCATTTTTGGTGCCCTCCGCTGGACTCTTTCCAATTTTTCCACATCCTTGTAGTGTGGGGCCCAAAACTGGACACAGTACTCCAGATGAGGCCTCACCAATGTCGAATAGAGGGGGACGATCACGTCCCTTGATCTACAGGCAATGCCCCTACTTATACATCCCAAAATGCCATTGGCCTTCTTGGCAACAAGGGCACACTGCTGACTCATATGCAGCTTCTCGTCCACCGTAACCCCTAGGTCCTTTTCTGCAGAACTGCTGCCGAGCCATTCGGTCCCGAGTCTGTAGCGGTGCATGGGATTCTTCCGTCCTAAGTGCAGGACTCTGCACTTGTCTTTGTTGAACCTCATCAGATTTCTTTTGGCCCAATCCTCTAATTTGTCTAGGTCCCTCTGTATCCTACCCCTACCCTTCAGCGTATCTACCACTCCTCCCAGTTTAGTGTCAGTTTCTCAGCCATTTTTGTGTCACTACAGGAGGCGGCTTTCAATGGAGGATGCTGCAAAGGGACAAGCTGGGCTGGGAGGGAGACGCTCGCAGCAGAAGGAGCTCAGGAAGGTCATGAGTTTTTGTATAAATGTAGTTTTGTTCTGGATGATTGCTGTGTGATATCACAGCTGAGATCTGCATTCCTGCTCCAGCTAGAGTCTCAGCACCCTGAGCACCGACTGTCTGGACAGAGGTGGAGTGTTAGTGTACCACAGACGGAGTGCAGAACATACGTACCCTAAACACTCCAGTACGTTACACACACTGCACTGTACCTTACACCAAACAGTTCGACATGCGCTTGTTATTTCATTTATGTGATCTTGTATGCTCATGAAGTGCTGAGTCATTATGCAGCATTAGGAATGAGTGTGAAAATGCAGAGGTTTGCACACCCCCAGTGCTGGCCACAGGACTCTCCTGTGAGCCTGTGGTGCAAGCTGAAACCCCCCCCTATGATTTCTCAACTCACCGGGAAAGTGCTGGGATAGGCATTGTTGAGATTCTGTGCTGAAAGACGCACCTTTCCCAGAGGGTGATCTTACCCAGGCTAAGTGAAATAGTTTATATTGTCATTAAATACAGTTTACCACCAGCCATTTGAGATACTATGTTATTTCCCATTGTAAGTATAAGGAAATACTGTGGCTATCTGACAGCACTGTTGGGTAACTTGGCAAATGCTGATTTCTTAGTGGTGTTCCTTGTACACGTGAGTGATGCCTTCATAAAACTATTTACATACGTTTAATCATGGGAGCAATTGTTCTGAAAAATTGGCCCTTTGTGGCCATTACTGATGTAATATCAAGGCTGGGTGCACCCCGTGCAACACAGAAGTCTGGGTTGCTGGGACATTTTGTTTGAGGAGAACTGTGCTCCACTGTGAAGAAAACCTCTTTGCTGTCATCCTTGCATTAGCCGGTGAAACATTTAGCAGTTTTTTTTTTTTTTTTTATAAAAACAAGCATTTGTCACTTCTTAGAATTATGCCACTAAGCACGAGAGAGACTTGGAAACAACAGTGCACAGTCAAAAAGTTGAACTGCACTTCAGTGAAACACCACCCCTGAACTCTCCCCTTGGCGTGCAGATGACAGCGCAGCGTCTAGCTCGTCACAGCTAAAGAAAATGCCCTGAGGCTCTAAAAAGATTTTTTCCTAACATGATCAATGTTCTTTTCTTCATCACCCCGAGTCTTGAAAAGCAATGAAAAGAGAGAGAGAGAGAGAGAGAGAGAGAGAGGAAAAAAGATGTACATTATAGCTGAGCATCCTCTCTTCACAAACAGCAACTGAAACAAAATTCTTTCATGTCTCTGAAACTTGCTACCCTCTGAACAAGAGAGTCACAGGAACAGCGCAATAAATCTACCTTGGCAAACACTTTTTTAGTGACCCAAAGAATGAGACAGGTGAATTACACAGTATGTGCGTTTTTTAGAATATATTAAATGTACGTAATTTACTCCCAACCAAGTTACTGACCTTCCTTTACACACTGCACAAAATGACTTGTGCCCGTAACGTGGAGGGTTTGTCGACATTCCTAAAAAACAGACTTGAAAACATCTTGTGCCCATGTTAATGCATGTTCTTATTACTGTCTTATTACTACTTCCCTTGTCCTCCCCCCGCTCCTGTCTGTTGTTTGAAAACCCTGCTGTTGTGTTCAATTAGACAAAGATTTTCAGGGCAAGGGCTGTCCTTTCACTCTGACAGCCTGGCACCTAAAGCAATGGGGCCCTAATCTTTACTGGAGGCTCTAGGTAAACCAGTAGTTATGGGCGTAAGTAGCCAATTTTAGTGCTCTTACCTCCTTAGCACCCATGGCCTCAAACATCTTCTCAAGCTGCACTCTCAGCTGCTGAATGTTGTTCATCAGGATGCAGGGCTGAAGGAGGCAATGGCAAAGTCTTGTTACTGATCAGGGTGACAACACTATTTGTTCTTTCACTGGCATAGCCAGGGCTAGAATTTCCCCCAGCATGTAAAGGAAGAGGAAGGGCAGGGGCAGATTTCAGTGCTAACAAAGCTTAGGAGGAAAGTCCCCCTTTCCAACCAGGAAAGGGGGCAGCTGCTTGCAGACATGCCAATCAGTGGTTAAGGGGTTGCTCCAGTGACAATTGGCTGATCAAGTAGACAACTGGCAGCTGCCCTCCTGTAAGAGTCCATTCTGATATCGCCCCCAGACTCTCAACTCTGACCTGTGCAGATCTGAACTGCATACAGATCATAAAGGGAGGTGGTGCACAACAAAGTGGCCGCTCCCAGAAATTCACGCATCAGCGAGGGGGAAAAATTTATCTGCTCAAGCTCCCCCGTTTGCAATTAAGGGACTCTATGTAGCAGATCCCAAACATCTCTAGCGTGAGACTCAGCTAGGGCTGAAGGGAGAAGGGATGCAGTGATCCATCTCAGCCTGCCTCATTCAGAATCTCTCCCCTGAACACAGTACCCATGGAGGCATTTGAATTGACAATAGCATCCAGTAGCAGTTTGGAGGATTTGTATCATAGAGGCAGATATCTGACCTAGAAAACTGCCAGGCCATGGTGAAGTGGCATTAATCCGAAGGGGACAATATGCATCTTCTGTTTTAAGTGCCCTGACATATGAGCAAATCCGCCCGGCTACAAGGGAACAGCTCCCCACTGGATCAAATAGTCAAACACCCATGAATGATGATCCTCCGCGCCAGTAACACTCCTGATGAGAGCGCCAGACTTCCAGTTGAATGGAAGCTTTTCTATATAGGGGATTATATTTTGCCAAACCCTACTTCTACCAATCAAGGGATTTTCTAAGGGTGCTTTCCAATTGTCCATATATGGGGAAACTCCTGCCTGATCTATAAGTAAGGAAGGTCACTTACGTGGGTCTTAAAAGAAAAGGAGCATCTAGCAGACTGACTGAGTTCTAGGTCACAGAAGTAGAATGGCTTGTCTTGTTTGGACCATCCCTCTTGAACAGAACTGGGGGATGGCGGTGTCCCAGCCCCATCTGTTGTCATTCATGGATATGTCTACACGCTGGGGCACACAATGGGCATTTCCTTCCAGAGATTAAGCTAAGGTTTCTACCACACCAGCAAGGATAAGATGTGGACTATTTTGGCTTCACAGTCTCTTTGGGGTAATTCACTGTTGTTTTTGCGTGCCATTAGCAAAAGAAAAAACTTAGGGAATGCAGTGTTAAGTTTCCCCGAACATGGACGGATGCCAATTCTATACGCATCCCTGGCAGGCTACCGGGTTGGGTACAGCACCGAGTACTGTTCAGAAACTACAGGAGATTTGAACCATTTGTGAACACAACAGGTGGAAGCCATTTGCATGCTGTGGCCTTTACTTCAAGAAAATGATGGGAAATTATGTCTTTTGAAGAAAATAATTATGGGTAGAAACAATGAAACCTGTATAAACAATTAGCACTTGCAGCAGAAAGGGGAGAAAGTCTTGGTAAACACATGAAAATTGAGTGAACAACATTGTTTTTGTTCTTTCACTCTCTTGGGGCAGACACAGCTGCATTACCTATTAAACTGCACAGGAAAAAATACACCAACTAATTGCCTCGAGTGACCCTGGAATGCTGGAGCACTTATCGATCACTCCGTTTACAGCCACTGTGATCGGAGTGTGACTTCTCTGGTGCCATGTCCTGACAGAGTCTGAATTACATGAGCACAAAGGGAGAAAGCCCATTTGCTAGGAGAAGGCTGGAGCATTCCCCTGGCTTCATTAAAGAAGAGCATCAAGAACAGCATGTGACAGACATCCAGATTTCAGACACAGTTTTATTTACCACCACCATTAATGATGTAGAAATGGGGTTGAACAACAAGTTAGTTTAAGTAGGGGATAATAAACTGGGAAGTGTTTGTGAAAGCCAAATGGGATACAGACATAGTATAAACATCTACAAAGAGTGTCCCAAGCCCATTTCTTTTCATGGCTGTAAAACAAGATTTAGACAATAGGGTGGATGCCTCACTCCAAAGGGCCCTGGAAAAAAGTGATAGCAGCAGCCATAAAGCAGTTCCCCAGGTTCAGAATGAAAAGATGGGGAGAAGAGCCCAAGCCCCAGCAAGTCAGGCAGAGTCTACCTTGGCCATCACCTTGTCACGTGGCCAAGCACCCTGTGCAAGCATGGAGCCCGACAGGAATGGTCCATCTCTGCTCTCAATAATTCCATGTGCGGCTGTAGCCTGAGGAGGGAGGGGATCACAGCAGAGTCTACAAGGTGCATGCAACTGGAATATTTATTTCCATCTCCTTAATGGAGAGTAAACCCTCTGACATAGATGTGGTGGGACTGACACACAGCAAGTGCCCAATTAGGAATCATTAAAAAATGGATAGAGAATAAGATGGAGAATATCTTATTCCCCTTATATAAATCCATGGTACGCCCACATCTTGAATACTGCGTACAGATGTGGTCCCCTCATCTCAAAAAAGATATGTTTCAGAGCAACAGCCGTGTTAGTCTGTATTCGCAAAAAGAAAAGGAGGACTTGTGGCACCTTAGAGGCTAACCAATTTATTTGAGCATAAGCTTTCGTGAGCTACAGCTCACTTATGCATCCGATGAAGTGAGCTGTAGCTCACGAAAGCTTATGCTCAAATAAATTGGTTAGCCTCTAAGGTGCCACAAGTCCTCCTTTTCTTTTTTCTAAAAAAGATATACTGGCGTTAGAAAAGGTTCAGAAAAGGGCAACTAAAATGATGAGGGGTTTGGAACGGGTCCCATCTGAGGAGAGATTAAAGAGGCCAGGACTTTTCAGACGGAAAAAGAGAAAAGACTAAGGGGGGATATGAGAGAGGTCTATAAAATCATGAGTGGTGTGGAGAAAGTGAATAAGGAAAAGTTATTTACTTGTTCCCATAATATAAGAACTAGGGGCCACCAAATGAAATTCATGGGCAGCAGATTTAAAACAAATAAAAGGAAGTTCTTCTTCACTCAGCGCACAGTCAACCTGTGGAACTCCTTGCCTGAGGAGGTTGTGAAGGCTAGGACTATAACAGGGTTTAAAAGAGAACTGGATAAATTCATGGAGGTTAAGTCCATCAATGGCTATTAGCCAGGATGGGTAAGGAATGGTGCCCTAGCCTCTGTTTGTCAGAGGGTGGAGATGGATGGCAGGCGAGAGGATCATTACCTGTTAGGTTCACTCCCTCTGGGGCACCTGGCATTGGCCACTGTCAGTAGACAGGACACTGGGCTGAATGGACCTTTGGTCTGACCCAGTATGGCCTTTCTTATGTTCTTAACTTTGATTTGCTCACCTATAAAATGAAATTAACTCCATAAAACTCCTGGGGCTTGATGACATGAGCAACAATGATGCGGTTTATGGCTTCCCAGCTGCAGTATGAGGACTCTTTAACCTGCTATTTTAAAGCTATTGCAGAGCGGCTCAATGATGCCTGGGTTTCTAAAGGTGGGGAGGGGGGAAATCAAATGTTACTCACTAGTTTCTCCTTGGAGCAGTAGGACTGGAAGCACTTGGAGAGAATGTCAGCATACTGCATCAGCACTTTCCCAATTGTCTGCAAAGACAACAGTGAATGATGTTACACACTGCTCTTCGACTGAGAAATGCAGGATGTTTGCAGAAGAACACAAAAATAAAATCAAACCAATAACTTAGAGTAGACAGGATTCTTCAAAACTCTTAGCTTCTGTTCTTCAGGGTTCATTAATTTCATTTTTGGGTGGCTTTTTTTTTTTAAGCAATTTGAGCGTTCTATGCAGATGTCTGATAATCAGACTTTTTAAGGACTTTCTCTTTGTGTATACTGTAATGAATAATCTCTTTGTAATGCTCCTCACTGCACTTTAATGTAGTACTGTTTCAAACAGTACTATGTTAAAGGACACTAGGGACTCTTTAGTACACAGTAGCAGGGTCTACATGGACCAATTAATGTGCAAAACATTAGCGTGCTTTGGAAATCACCCCCCTGTGGTGTGTGTTATCGCTCCACATAGACAGGCCCTTAGATACATGTAAGCATTTCTAGTGTTTACTGGAGAAATGCCAATATTTTCTAAATTTTCATTTTTTGTCCAAGGGGTGTTTTATCAGCGTTTATCGGTTAAAACCAAAAATAAGAAGCCCTAAAGTTCTTTAAAGTTCTCCATACAATTGAAGGCAGATGAAGAGCTAAATGCTAGTGCTGTTACCTTAGCAAACCTCCTCATATAGTGAGCTACAATCATAGGGTCTGGACACTCCAGCTTCTTAATGATCTCAAAGCTCTGATTGAGCTGTGTGAAGACATCCACCACCGAGCAGGAGAATAGAGCATGCTCAGATGTTTGCTGGAACTAAACAAAAAACACACACAGTAATTTCTGAGTGTCTTGTACGGATCTGAGAGAGGCAGCTGGTATTTCTCAGGCATCTGTCCTTTGTCTGCTGCGTGGGCACTGGGCAGCTGCAAAGCAGAATATGTTCACCCCAGAATTAAGGAAGGAGTTTTCAAAGGGTCCCAAAGAAGTTTGGAACCTAATTTTCAAGGACCTATGAGACCTATCTCCCTTTGACAATTGCAGTCTAAACCAGGAAGGGACATGACTCAGCACCTGGGATTGGCAATTACACTGCTGAGACCTTTCATGAAATGCATCGTTTGCCTGTTCATTTAATGAGCAACATGGAAACGAAAACGCACAGAATTTTTTTTTTTAAATGGAGAAATATAAATGAGGGCTCGCATCCACATTCAAACAGGCTATGTACAGCACAACAACGCCTTCTGGGAGTGCTCGGTGAGGTTAAAGAACAGATGGATTAAGGTCACTTTCATTGTCACGATTAGACAAGTCCCTAGATTCATGTGTTTCAATGACTTCTCTCACAGGCATGGGGATGTGGGAGAATGCCAAGCCTCTTGCTGACACAGATTAGCAGCAGCACCACTTATAAATGAATTGCTCTGCAGCCCCTATTAGGTTAAAACAGTTCCTGAGGACCTGGGGACAAAGTCTCAAGATAAAGGAGATTCCCATTTCTTCAGTGAGCTAAAATGGCTGCATCCGCATTCAGGCTCCTGAATTTGCTGTGGTAATATTTGGTTCCTGGGCACAGTAATCCAGCTACGTACCCCATCTTTCTTATCTCTTTCCAGGGCTCCATGCAGGAATTCCAGGGAAACATCTTCATTCTCATCCAGCCACTGCATCACAAACTGCTCAAACCATCTGCCACAGGGAGAGGAAGGAGAGCAAGTTACTGTGTGAAACGCGGTGCCTAGTCACAACTACTAATCTTGTGGCATTCCCACCTCTCAGCACTCGATGAGTCTTTCAGTGATTCAAATGCCTTCAAAACAGCAAAAATCCTGGCTTTCCTCTCCCCAGCTTTATTGGTTACATTTATTGCCAGACAGCAGTTGACCCTCTAGCGAGCCAGTCTGAAAGCTGATCATCATCTGCCCAGGTGCCCAGCTGGCTTTCCCCAGGGAGGATCTGAAGGACAGCAGCACCCTCACACACAGGTGTACTGACACGTGCCCACATTGCTTCCTGGGCAAGAACAGTAGGCCACAATCTCGCCTGACGCCCTGAGCACTGGATTGTCAGATTGGGCCCCTCATAACCACGGGCTTCAGTACAGTTGCTACTATTTCACCCACTTCGTTCATTCTCCCTCTGCACTGTTCCACCTCTGCTCATGCTCTCTCCCTCTTCAGTAGCTTGGTTCTGGTTTTGCTTTCAATGTTTTTACTCCTTTTTCTCTTTTCCTGTTTGCATTACTAGCCCTCTCTCCCCCTCCCCGAGAACCGTGTGCTCACTAATTTTACTAGTGGCTCTGAGAAATTTAACCACACATGCTCCCAGGGACGAGCTAAGGGATACAGGTTTGGGAAAAGAAGCTTGCTGTGTGAGCTTGCAGCTCTCGCTGTCAGATCTGCATTGCATAAGGAAAGAGAGAAGGAAGTGGATTCCCTGGGCCTCCTGCCATTTTGTCTCCAGGTGCAGGAACATATTTTGGGAGTTGGGGGAGGCAGATCCCAGATGAGGCAGTTTTCTCCACTCTGGTGCTGCTCTCTGCTGCCCCATACCCTCCGTAGGGTAGCCTGGCATCCTCTCTCCCAAAGGCACAACTGCTCTCCAAGTTGGATCCAGTCTTTTAGACTCTTTGGCATGCTAATTCGTTAACAGTCTGGGAGAACGCTTGAGTAACCAGAGCTTAACGTCCGATTGGTGGCACTATACTATCCCCACAGGAGACACCAGCCCATGCAGAATCAGCAGTGCCATGGTGACTTATCTCTTGTGAGAGTGCAAGTGAATTTAGTGCATATGAAAGGGTCCAGATTGACCCACCCTAGAGTGGAGCTCCATGAATCCCAAGAACAGGTGGAACACGGGCAAAGGAGAACAAGCTTCCCCCATGCTTTCCCATCTCCTATCCTGGAGAGGGGAGAGAGTAGCATAGCAGGATGGAAAGGGCTCCGGAAACTGGGCCTGTTAAAAATGGGTGCCCTTTTGTGCCAAGGAGGTAGCTTTACAATTAAAGTGGGGACATTTATCCACTTGGAACTGGACTAGACTCTTAACTCACTGCACCAGACAGCTACCAGGACTGATGTGCTGGATCTGAACCAGCAAAGAGGAAGAGAAAGGATCTGTATTTCATCAGCAATCCCTTGAGCTAGCCAGACCCCATTCTCTTGCTGTTTGAAAGCATCAGGACAATAGATAGGGGAGGTTTTCGGTGGTGTTTAAGAAGCAGTAGAGCATTTAAGGTTTCATCTGAATTAAATGTCTCTCTAGAGTTCATTGCACAGCTCTTCTCTACGTAAGTATTTAAGTACTGTAGCTGCAGCAAATCTCACTTTCATATAGTACCAAACAGCATTCACAAACAAGGGAAAAAAAGGCCCATGTGTGAATTCAATCCATAAGAAGTGTATTACATGAGCTTCACAGTAGAGTACGACCTTCTCTGAACAGGCCACGGAGCTCATTCAAATGGTGCTAATTATGGGCTGCTTGAATTAGCAAAAAATGTGAAATAACGTGAGAGACACGAGAGCGAGACAGACAGAGAGCGAGCGCACAACCGCAGAGCAGCCTTAAATACTGGGTAGCCTTAAATACTCCTAACACCTTTGCATATACAGCACATCCCTGTTAATATTGGAAATTGTAACTGACACAGTGTTAAATGCCAGCAGCAGCCTGCCTACACCAGCACGACCCAACAGAGCTGGCAGCCACGCTGACCTATGTTAGCAATGATGGGAAAATTTCTCTCACAGAGACAAGGTCTTTCCATGTTCCAGTGAAATTGCTTTTGACCTGGCAGTTCTGAGGCTTTGAAAGTCATGGTTTGTGCATGGGCTGCAGGACTCTCTTGATTTGAGCATTTTGTTTGGTTTTTAAATAACGATAGTGCTTTTTAAGCCATGACTCATTCTTTTTACAAGAGAGCTCAGGTACTAAGGAAACAGAGGTAGTTTATAAGGGGGTAGCTAGCAAGTCTCCGATTCCCTGCAGAGCTCCTGAGTGGCAAGCTGCACACTGTATTGTATTGCTTACTGCCCCAGAAAGTTACAGCTCAATGAATGACACAGGCTGCTTGCTACTTACTAATTGCTGCTTATGGCACAGAAGGAGGCAGAACGGCCTACTGGTTATCCCTTACTAGCCATTTCGTATTGCGCCTTTGACATTCACTGCACGCTCACAGAAGGAGATAAGGGCACTTCAGAAAGTGTGCCACATGCAGTGATGAGAACACAAAGCCACTCGCCATAGATGGGATGCATAATACTTCCAGCGTAATGGTTTACAAATTCACGGTCATCTAGGTGTTTTGCTGTCTAGCCAGACTGCCTGGCAAAAAGGGAGGGTAATTTTGGGGAGGGGGGTTCTTTTAAGACCCTCCTCCACCAGAAACTCCATAGAGAGAACTATGCTAAGAGAACATTAAGGATAACATAAGAATGGCCATACTGGGTCAGACCAAAGGTCCATCCAGCCTAGTATCCTGTCTACCAACAGTGACCAATGCCAGGTGCCCCAGAGGGAGTGAACCTAACAGGTAATGATCAGTGATCTCTCTCCTGCCATCCATCTCCACCTCTGACAAAAGAGGCTAGGGACACCATTCCTTACCCATCCTGCCTAATAGCCATTGATGGGCTTAACCTCCATGAATTTATCCTGTTCTCTTTTAAACCCTGTTATAGTCCTAGCCTTCACAACCTCCTCAGGAAAGGAGTTCCACAGGTTGACTGTGTGCTGAGTGAAGAAGAACTTCCTTTTATTTGTTTTAAACCTGCTGCCCATTAATTTCATTAGGTGGCTCCTAGTTCTTATATTATGGGAACAAGAAAATAACTTTTCCTTATTCACTTTCTCCACACCACTCATGATTTTATAGACCTTTATCATATCCCCCCTTAGTCTCCTCTTTTCCAGTCTGAAAAGTCCTAGCCTCTTTAATCTCTCCTCAGATGGGACCCGTTCCAAACCGCTCATCATTTTAGTTGTCCCTTTCTGAACCTTTTTTAATGCCAGTATACCTTTTTTTAGATGAGGAGACCGCATCTGTACACAGTATTCAAGATGTGGATGTACCATGGATATATATAAGGGCAATAAGATATTCTCCATCTTATTCTCTATCTTTTTTTAATGATTCCTACCATCCCGTTTGCTTTTTTGACTGCCGCTGCGCACTGCATGGACGTCTTCAGAGAACTATCCACGATGACTCCAAGATCTTTCTCCTGATTAGTTGTAGCTAAATTAGCCCCCCATCATATTGTATGTATAGTTGGGGTTATTTTTTCCAATGTGCATTACTTTACATTCATCGACAAAATTATTTTAAAATTAATTAATTTCATAGACACATTTTTACATATTGTTTGGTAGAGAGCAATTGCCTTCCTCTTCCTGCCTGTTTTAGTAAGTGATCTAAAAGAAATTGCCACACCTTTTTAACTTATTCGCACCATCTAACACTCAAGCCTGTGCTATACAGGAGGTCAGACCAGATGATCATAATGGTCCCCTCTGGCCTTAGAATCTATGAACTCACACAGCAAGTGACGCAGAGCTCCTGTGGAAATGATGGTCTGGTAACATGCCAATGCAGATTGACCTAATGAATATGCAGGAGGCATCGCACCCTGACTTTGGAGGGCTTGACCATGTAGTCTTTACAGCCCTTTTGAGAGTTCTGGTTTGGAATAAACTGCTACTACTCTTCAGTGTAGTGCGCTCTCCTACGCCATGAATGGGAGCTGCGTCTTCTGGCTGAAAGGAAATTTCCTATTGTTGTGTGTTACAGATATAATGTAAGACAAAGGGCTGCAGTTTCAGCCTGTCCTGAACCTGGTCTCTGCTTCTATGGCCAGAATTTTGCAGACAAAATTAAGGCTTACATGCCTAGGTACCTGGCTGCCTCCACAAATCAGGTACTGAGACATTTAAACAGTGTTTTCAACTGACCATGCAAGTTACAGGGGCAAAAACAGACTGGGTTTTCAAGATTGGGCCAAACACGTGCACAGTAAGTCACGATATCAAAGGCAGAAATGCCTTCTACCTCCAGAGACGAGCTCGTCTCTGGTACAATCACACTACTTGATGCGTACTAAAGTGTATAATTTAGAAAAAAACATGATATATTAAGCATTTTGAAAGGACAAAGAAAAAGAAGTTCATGCTTTTGGGAATTAACATCTTCCGTCTTTCCGCTGACTTCTGTGATGGACAAGAGGAAGCTCTAATGCTCTCTGGATAGTGGAGTTTTGACTGGTCTCAAAGAGTTTACTAGGTTTGAAGCTGAAGCAGAGAATTTTGAGTATCTTCTGTACTTAATGAACTTGCATTTCATAAAATAGAAACTAACTCATTGCTACGGTTAGCCCCAGTGGTATTTTTGAAGGGGTGGGCGTAGGAGCGCAGACAGGTAAGGGAGATAGTTGAAATAGTCATTAGATGTGTTTGGTTACATGCTTAGTGTTAAATATTAGCACTGATCAGCAGCAGAGGTTACTGAGACTGCACATACACCAGGGCACTAGGAACTCTATAGAGAGATACCGCACAGACAAAGCCAGCAGGTTAGATCATTGAATATTACTGCTTAGTGACACTCCGGTCACATTTTTCACCCATAGATCGCAGAGCTCCTTAGGAAAATAGCTAAGCATCATTATCATTATTTTACAGATCTGTAAACTAAGACACAATACAGAGAAATCAAGTGACTGCCTTCGCTGACTCAGAAGCAGAGCCAAGAAAGGAAACCAGGCCAGCCTCCTGTCCACGTGACCATGCAGCCTCTCATTGCTCTGCTGATCTGTTCCCAAGGCCCACAGTTCAAACTGGTTATTATATCAGGTGTCCCAAATTCGAGTGATGCCCTGTAGATCAGGCATGCTCAAATTATATTCACCAGAGGGCTGCGCTGACAACTTGCTAGGAGCCCAAGGGCCATGCCTAATTTTAATAATACAGCTTAGATGGCACATGCCCTTATTTTTAATTCCTTGGTGTTGCGCAGCAGCTACAAGCCGCAGCAACAGGCCAGGTTGCTCAGGACAAGGTTGATTATTGCAATCTGGGACCTGTAGTCACCAGCAACTACAGCTCCATATTAAAGGGCAGGACAGACACACTGTATAACTCTGATCCTCACTGGCCTCCCTGGATATAGACCATGTGATCCAGGCTCTCTGCTTTGCCCTTTGTTGAATGCAGTATTTCATGCTGAAACTCATGGGATTCTCCCAAGGTGAGCTTGCACTGAACCAGCTCTGCCCTTTGCGGGACAGATTGATATCAGCAGGATGGGCCTGCTCTCCCTGTAAATCAACCCCAGAAAACAAATTATTCAAGTCAGACCCTTTGCAACCTCTACTAAAGAGAAAAGGCATCAGAACAGGAAGTGGGGCGGAATTGCTCCAGGGCGGCGAGGACCTAAGTGAGCGCCTTGCTCAGGGAAGGTGCCATTATTGGAGTCTAATCTAAAGACACCAGCACTGCTTTACTAAGGACGGTGCCTATTTAAAAAAAAAAAAAAAAAGGCGGCAGCCCCTAGCAGCAGCTCCAGTTTCTGGCAGGAACTTGGGGTGGCCACTCAGACAGTGCTTGGAAGCCAAGGTTTGATAAGACAGAGCATTTGCCGTTTAACCGTTGATTACAGAGTCAAAATTACAAGGCCCACCCCAATGTAACCAGATCACAGATTGTAAGCATGCCATAGAAATGCCCCCAAATCAAACCTAGATCCCAAGGTCCAACCCTCTGCTAAATACTTTGGCTCTTGAGACTGAGTTGAGACATACTGTACAATGAGATGAAACAATCACGTATGTAAGGAGGAGAAAGACCAATAGCAAGAATAGCTGAGAGAAGGCTAGTATGCTTTCGTTATGGTCAGAAAGAAGTGTAGAGGCAGTAAAGATCGGAAAGGTAGGAAGACTAAGGTAAAGCAGAAAGATCACCCTAAGGAAGGTGTGAGATGGGGCAAGAAATGGAATTTATAACAGAGAATACAACTGACTTACGCTGGATAGTCGGGCACTTTCCCCTTGAAGGCAGGCAGATTGCGAACATACTCATTGTACAGCCATTTCACTTTGAAGTGCAAATTCATATAGTCTGCACTTTTACATAGTCTGTGCTTCTCATGATCTGTTGGGAAGAAAACAAGCAGTCAGGTATGTTAAATTAGCATTATTCCAGCTGCACTGGTCACAGCAGAGTTGCGTACAACACATCTGCAATGTGCTAAGGTACTGGTGCATGAGGTATGCCTATAATGCCATGACATTTCAGCAGTTAGGATTTCTACAGCATTTGGGGGTTCTTTGCAGATCAGCAGGTTGAATTCTGGAGTAATTTTGCACAGCTCCATCTAACACTTCAAAAATAGAAGAATTTCTGTTGTCATGACAATAAGAGGAGAACGATTTCTTATGGCCCGTCCTCCTCTTCACATTAGATGCTCTGGATTTTGTCGTCCTAAGAAAGAAATAATACGATTCCTAGAGATGGCATTTGGGTTCTCCTAGATTTAAATGGTGGTAACAAATATACTATCTTGCAGCCTCCAAGAGAGGAGGGCAGAGAGAGTTAAGTTCCGTATCTTCATTTGTTAGTGATGTCCTAGTATGGAGTAGGTGTGGATTTCTACAGGGGCTCTGCAAGGCATTTTCATCACTACAGCACATGCATCTTTTGCCTCCCAGACTCAGCTGGCTCAGTCTCTGCAGAGCAGAGGTGAAGGACTAGGAGGCCACTGCTGGCTCAGTGCACTGGGGACACTTCATCATCAGGAAAACACAGTTCTTGCTGGTGCAGGAAGGATGTCTCATGAGGAAGCAACTCTCTTCCTTTGTATCTCCAGCATCCTGCGGTGGCACAAAGTCAGCTCCACAAGTCATAGGGGCTAAGGAAATGTTCTCAGCTGCCCTGCTTGTACCCTCATCTGCCCAGGACTCAATCAGCAATTCCCTCCTCCCAGCATTTCCAGCCGGACTGGTGCAGAAGGCCCCGGGTCACCTGCTCCCTGGGGTTGGGCCATTATGATCATTTTACGCCCCCATCCCCACCCCCCAAATTCTTTATACGGGCTGCCCATAAAGCAGTCAATTGCTTTTAAGGCAGACCTGCCTGCTTGTCAAGCCTCGAGTGGGAAACAACCTGCCTATACTTTAACTTATCCTTGAGCTTTGTCTTAGTAGTTAAATGTGTTCTCACATCACTTGTTTTTAGAGAGGTTCCACCATTACCACTTACTTTCACTAGCAAGTGATGAGAGATTTTGCTACATCTTGGAAAACTCAGCCGCCAGAAACATCCCTATTCCCTTCTGGGATATTATGAAAGATACTTCTCTATCAGACTGGTGCTTTGTTTTAACCACCACCGAGTCCATGAGTACAATCCTCTTTCCAAAGGGACACCTGCTGCATTTGGAAGCCTCTTACTGGGTTTTATTTGAGGTGGGTCCAAGCTGCAGAGATTTCCCTGGATCTGAGTTTTCCCAATGCCACAGTTGGTTTGATGGCCAAACTTTATACACGTATGTGACCCGTTCACTCCAAGTGACGTTTTTCTTGGAAGTGAAGAAAAAGAGCATCGCTGTGTCTTAGAGCTTGTCTACACGAGCACTTGGCAAGCTGAGATAGGAATTTACCCTGTCCCAGCCTGCTGCAGCATAACGGTCCACGTGCACCAGCTGATGTGCGTTAATAGTTTATAAGAGCACTTTGAGCTAGTCTCTTTGAAATGAGACCAGCTGAAAGTGCATTAACAAATTGTTAACATGTGTCAGAGTAGGAGTGGACATGCGGACAGTAGTTAGACTGCAGCAGGTAAGTGCGGGGCAGACTTAACCTCCCATAGTCTAATTGCTTATGTAGATATGCCTTAGCTTAATGAAGCTGTGATATCCTTAGTGCCTAAGGAGGCTAGGAGCCCCACCTCAGAGTATCTGACCTACTGGCCTCTCTCAGTAGTAAGTGCAGAAGTAAAGACATATGTAGGGGGTTTAGCAGTCAGACTGGAGTTGGAAAGAGACACAAGTATGCACTCCGTGCCTCTAGTGAGAGGAGGGAAATCAGTGGACAATCAACACTTTGTTCATTTTGATGTGGAGCACTACAGGGGTTGCCATCGCCCTACTTGACAGAGCAGAGAGTCATTCTTGCATAGGAGCAGCTACCAGCTTATAACACAACTGGATGCATTTGAGATGAAGTGGCTTGAGTAGTAAATTTTTCTCCACAGGTGACAAGGAGACCATACAACTTTCTAAATGACAAGCCCTGTCAAAGTAGAGGTCAGTAGTGCTTGAGATGCAAGATGTGTTACCTCCCCTATGAAAGATGGATATGTGGCTATGGGAAAAGCACAGGCCATGAGACAGACTGATCAAAGAAAATCTAACAAATTTATTTGAGCATAAGCTTTCGTGAGCTACAGCTCACTTCATCGGATGCTGTAGCTCAGGAAAGCTTATGCTCAAATAAATTGGTTAGTCTCTAGGATGCCACAAGTACTCCTTTTCTTTTTGCAAATACAGACTAACATGGCCGCTACTCTGAAAAAAGAAAATCTGATACATTTTAGTCAGAAGTTTGGGGGGAGGCCTAGGTATCACCTTGTCTTTGCACAATACACAGCATAAGGTGTTGGCCATCAGGACTTACAGCTCTGAGACACTCCTGGCAAACAAAAATTAGACCTTCAGCACAGGAACATAGGAACAGCCACAATGGATCAGACCAGTTGTCCATCTAACTGAATCTTCTATCTCCTGCTGTTTCTGAGGAAGGTGCAAGGAAAGCCCGCACAAGGCAGGCATGGCACAAGTTATATCCTGCTGTTTTTCTGTCAGAAAAGCGTCTGAGTCCACACCATGTGGAACTGCTACTCCTGTGGGAATTCTGCGCCACTGCGCATGTGCAGAATTCATGTCCCCTGCAGATTTCTTTGCTTCCCCGCAGAAAAATGACTTTCTGACAGGGAAGCAAAGGGAAGCTGCAAGAGCAGTCATGCACCACTCCCTAGCTGCGCAGGTACATTGTTTCAGGCACCCAGAGCAGCCAGCGGAGAGGTAAATCACCACAGGGCTGGGGACAGCCCAGCCAGTGACTCCTAGCCTGAGCCGGGATCAGCTCCTAGTGCTGGCTAGGCTGGAGGCAGGAGAGAACAGGACTTCCTCTTCCCCTGGAAGGAGTGGCTGGGGCTGTGTGTCAGACTCACCCCCAGAAACCTCCCTGAGCTGCAGGAAGCTCTGCATCCTCCCTGCTTCCTGCTCCCATCACTCCTCAGCTGTGGGGTATGGGTCACTGTACAGGGAGTTGCTCCCCCATCTGCCCAACCCCCACACATCTGGACCTCCCATACGCAGACACCCCTGCCAAGCCGCACCCTGTACATCCAGAACCCTCCTAGCCCTCCAGACCCGAACCCCACCCCACTGAACCTCAACCCCTGCATTTGGAGCGTCCTGCATCCAGATCCCCTGCCTTTGGACACTCACCCCTGCACCTAGACCACCCCCCACTGAGCTCCCTGCACATAACCCCCCACCCTTTTGAGCCCCACCCCCCTGACCCCCCACATCCAGATCCCCATGCCATTGACCCCAATTAGCCACACCCAGCCCCCCACAACACCAAGCCCCACTCCGCCAGCACCCAGCCCCCCTCTAAGACCCCCACAGCTGAGGCCCAACCACTTTCACCTGGAAACCCCTGCCGAGTCCCATTGCCCCAGCACCTGAAACCCGCCCCAAAGAGCCTCTGTGTATACAGATACCCCCCACACACACATGCCTAGACCACCCCCCACTGAGCTGCCTGCATCCAGGTTGTCCCACACAGAATCCTCTCACCCCAGACCTGGATCCCCCCACACTGAGCCCCTCCACACTTGGATCCTGCCTGCACCACACCAGCTGCACCTGGCACAGGTGCCCCAGGATATTTCTGGGGCAGGCACAGGTCTTGTGCTGTGTCAGGGTTGGGTGTAGCCTCACCACTGAGTCCGTGTCCCCGGAGTGAGGGGTGGAAAGGCTGCACAGTGATCTCCAACCTTCGTGCAGCCAGTGGTCTGTGCTCCCCACCGTCATGCGGGAGCCTCTGCATTTATTTACTGACAAATAAAACTTGCAGAATTTTAAAATATTGTGCACAGAATTTTTAATGTTTTGGAGCAGAATGTCCCCAGGAGTAAATAACTGCTGATCCTGAGGTTCCAGTGGAGGCAGCCAAAGGACTCCCAAGGACCCTTTGCTTTTCTGTTGGAGAAGACTGCCCACGGAGCAGGATCCCTCACCGGCATTTAAGAGGAGCTGCTGACCCAAGACGCGGAGGCCCAAAGGGACGAACACCAAAGTACTCAGAAACCATGTGGAGTAAAACCTGAATGGGGCTTGAACTCTGAAGCTGTCTGCCCAAAAAACTCACCAAGGTGGCGCTGCATAAAAATGACATGGCACCCACCACCTTGGAACTGAGAAAACAACAGCACCCACCTCAGATCCAGCAGGGACCAGTGATCCCTGGATCCAAGTATAGCATTAATCAGCCCCCAAAACAGGTCTTCCCGGAGCTGGGAACTTGTCATCAGTACTGAAGAGATGATAGTTCTGGAGAGAATATTGGAAATGCTAGACAGGTCTGAGTAATGCGACAACTCTTCCAGCAGATCCTTCAGAGGGGTTATGGGGGTCTGCCAGACAGTTCCAAGGGGCATCCCCACAAATAGGACTGACCTGACTATGTTAGGTTCCACTGGAAGAATACGGATCCTAAGCCATTTTGCCATTTCCTTACTGGGCACTTTTACAAGTGACTTGGGATGTCGCATCTTGGCTCAGACCCCTCCTCAAACTCAACCAAAACAGGGAGCGCAACAGGGCAAGAGGAACACCTCTTAAACCCTGTGATCTCAATGGATACAATGTCTCAGGCAAGGCCCCTGGTGATCCCAGAGCAGTAGAAATTTGACAAAAACAGCCAACGCACACATTTTAAGTGGAGGTTACTTACTGTAATTGGAGGTTCTTCGGGATGTGCAGCCCCTTTCTGTATTCCACATGTGGGTACACAGGCACACCATGCACCTGAGTCTGGAGATTTTAGCAAGCAGTGTCTGTTGGCCCACATGTGCGCAGTGAA